GAAAACCCTGCCTGATTCTGCACCCTCTTCACAATGACCATGTTTGAGCCTGTTGTTGCAGCCACTATGTCCGTCTATCTTGCTGAGAGTCTCGCTCCTTTTTGCTGACCCTCTATTTTACCAAGCATGATGCCCTCCAGGGACGGCCCCTCCTGATGACATTTCCAAAGTACGTGAGATGGAGTCACTTGTTTCTGAAGAATCTTCTGGCTACAGATGTGTTCTGCCAAGACAGATGTGTTCATCCTCTGGCATGTTCTAGTAAATTCAGTGTTCTTTGTTAACACTGTAATTCAAATGCATCAATTCTTCAGTTTTCCTTATTTATAGTCCAGCGTTCCTAGGCATAGGAAGCAATTGAAAATACCTTGGCTTGGGCTAGGGTTGTTGTTGTTAAGTGCTGTTGATTTCGTTCTGACTCATAGTGATGACTCTGTATAGGATTTTCAAGGAGTGGCTTGGGGGTTGGAACTGCCAGCCTTGTGGTTAGCAGTCTAGTGCTTATCCAACAGCGCCACCCCAGGTCAGGATAAGTTGAGATGGTACAGAGTGACTGTTACATTGAGGCATTTTGTTGTGTATCCAAGTGGACAAGACTTCTTTTTCCTTATAGACTCATCTTCTAAATTCATAACTTGAGGCTGGAGGCGACTTTGAAAGTGACCTTATTTTCATTCTCATAATGTTGTTATTAAATGCTGTCAAGTTAGTTTTAACTCACAGCGAGCGACTCCGTATAGAGTTCCCAAGGCAGTCAATCTCTGTGGAGCGGTTAGTGGGCTTGAACTGCAGAGCTTGTGGTTTATCATATGGAGTCACCGGGCTCCCTCTTCATGTTATGGGTGAGGAAACTGAGGCCCTGGGGAAAGCAGTCCAAGGCCAGTATAAGTAAACCACTTTCCAGATGCTGAGTGCTGAGGATAAAGGAGAGTTGTGATTCAAATACATTAGGGAACAATTTCTACATCTAAATGTCGTGCTCCACTTACATTTACTTCTAAACTTCAGCAGCTTCCCAAGAATGAAAATCTTTCCCAGCTGCATTTGACATTTTTCTTAGATCTGTCTTTTGTACGAGGGGAAAAAACACAACACTTGCAAATTACTTGGAGGGAGACATTACTTACCATCCCTTAAGTGTCTGTTGGCAGTGATGGCTTTCCTTACTGCGGAAAAGTAACTTCAGGACAGAGAATTGGTCTGAGCCATTGGAGAGAAGAAATACAGTCATCTTTCCAAGAAATTTCCCCTTCCTCTCAGCTATGGGTCGGAACCCCCTCGATGGCACTTAGCAATAATAGTAAAGGTGGTTGGCAAAGCATTTTGTTCAGGGATGTTCAGTCAAGATGCAAATGGAAAACCAAGAGGTCTTGCCCCAGTCAGAATTCAACTGCTATCAAACAAGGTTTTCCTAGATTTTAGTGCTTTTAACAACCCCCTCCAAAAACTCCTGTGTCCCCCATGCTTTGTGTTTGTAGTTTTCTTTTGTTGTTGTTGTTATTGAGAAATCTACACAGCAAAAGATACACTAACAGGTTCTAAATGTACAATTCACTGACATTGATTGCATTCTTCAAATTGTGCAATCATTCTCATGTTCCTTTTCCAAAGGATTTCTGCCTCATTACCATAAACCTCTGTTTTGGAACAAGTGCAGCCAGAGTGCTCCTTGGAGGCCAAGATGGCTAGGCTTCGTCTCTCATACTTTGGACACATTGTCCGGAGAGAACAGTTGCTGGAGAAGGATGTCATGCTGGGTAAGGTGGAGGGTCAGAGAAAAAGAGGAAGACCCCCAACGAGATGGATCAGCCAGGTGGCGTCAAGTGTGGCGGCGGTAGTGAGGTTGGCCCAGGATCGGACATTGTTTCGTTCTGCTGTGCATGGGGTCGTTGTGAGTCGGTTCCGACTCGATGGCACCTGACAACAACAACAACCATAAACCTATGGTTCCCCAAGGTTCCTATTTAATCTTTCGAGTTGCTATTGTGACCTGGATCCCTTGTAGACAGATCTGAAAAGAGCACAATGCTCAAGGCAGACATTCTTCACAAAGTAAGTTAACCGATATACAAGTCTAAGGAACTCTGGTAGCATAGTGGTTATGAATCGGGCTGTAAACCGCAAGGTCAGCAGTTCGAAACTACCAGCTGCTCCACAGGAGAAAGATGAGGCTTTCTGCTCCCATAAGATTTACAGCCTTGGAAACACTGTTCAGGGTTCAGGATCACTGTAGGTCGGAACTGACTCGACGGCACTTAAGAACAATATACGACTCCTGGTGTGGCGTTGTGGGTTAATGTGCTAGACTGCACAGTCAGTTTGAACTGCAAGGTTGGTGGTTCAAGCTCACCAGTCACTCCTTGGAAACCCTCTAGAGGGTCACTATGGGTCAGAACCGACTCCACGGCACTTAACAACAACATTATTTGGTGTGGTGCTGTGGGCTAATGCACTGGACTGCAAAGTCAGTTTGAAGGGCAAGATCGGCAGCTCAAGCTTACCAGCCACTCCTCGGAAACACTTTACAGGATCGCTATGGGTCGGAACTTACTCAAAAGCACTTAACAACAACAACATTATCTGGTTTAAAGATGACTGCAGGGAATCATTTTGATTTATGGTTTAAAGATGATTATAGGACAACAATTTCAGGGATTCATCACATCAACGTGTCTCCAGAATGTCCGGATTCCATAAAAATTTAAAATCCTGTTTGGCATTTTCTGTCTTTTGGTCAAGATTCTTCTATAGAATCTTCATCAAAATGCTCAGTAATGGTAGCTGAGCACCATCCCATTGTAGTCATCATTCTTTGTTCAGCCGTCTCTCACTTTTCAGACTGATTTTGGTGCAATGGATAGCCTTCTGCTCTCATATGGTGTTTCTTGCCATAGTTGTAACTCACACCAAATATCTGGGTTGTTGTTGTTAAGTGCCATCGAGTCAATTCCGACCCATAGCAACCCTGTATAGGGTTTCCAAGGAACAGCTGGTGAGCTTGAACCACCGACCTTGCAGTTCAAACGGCTTTGCAGTCTGGCGCATTAGCCCACAGTGGCATACCAGGACTCCTTTTGGCTATTCGATGTGGCTTTATTTAGAAAATATCTCAAATGCAGAAAAATGTGTAACAGTAAAAATTTATATGGTACTTAGGAGTCCCTGGGTAGTGAAAATGGTTAAGGATTCTACTAATAATTTGAAGGCTGGGTATTCAAATCAATCCAGAGTGGCCTTGGAAGGAAGCCCTGGCAATCTGCTTCCAAAAAGTAAATCCCTGTTCTGATTCTGACTCACAGCGACTCTAAACCACAGAGCAGAACTCCTCGGTTGTAAATCTTTACAAGAGTGGACTGCCACTTCCTTCCCCTGCAGTTAGTAGCCCAGTGCTTGAACGCTGTGCCACCACAGCTCCTTGAAGACTACAGAATACAGTTCTCCACAACTCACCAGGAGTTGGCGTAGACTCTAAGGCAATGAGTTTTTTATTTCCTTTCTTCTTTTTTTTTTTTAATATGGTGGTTCCTACTGCCAGACAGTTCTCCAAATGAATTAGATACACTGATACACTTAGCAAGTCTGCTATCTAGAGCAGACGTTTACACCTTCAGTGGAGTCTTTGTGTAGCCCTGTGGGGCACTGCAAGGTTGTTTTGAACCACAAAGTCAGTGGTTCAAACTCACCAGCCACTATGAGTTGGAACCAACTCAACAACACTTAGCAGCAATAACAAATGTAAACGTACAGAACAAAAGTATTTTTAGTAATAATCCTGAAATGAAATAAGCACTGATCAGAAATTAAAAACACACACACAAACCCCACGATGGACTAAACCTTTAAAATTTGTTCAACAAAAACCAAACCTGTAATCCAACTACTGAACTGGCACAGAATTGACTATTAGTTTCTGTTTTTGATCTTTTAATTCTGGAAATTTGTCAATTTGCATATTCCTGCTCAGTAGGCAGTAAGCATGTATTCGTCAATCATGGGAGCCCAAGCTCATAGTTTATTTTTTAAAAAAGCACACACACATTGATTTTAACTTTGAAGCACCGGATATGTAAATAGTTACAAAAAGTCTTAAACATAGGATACATTTACAGAGATTCATAAAATGCCGTTTCATAATAAATCTCAGAGAGAAAAGAGCCACAGTTCATATTTTTTGGGTGAGGAGAATATTCAACTTGGACCAATTAGACTGCTTCGTTTAATTACCGCCCAGATTCTCATGGGCATTTGAATTTGTGGTGTAATACAGGTGCCACTGTGTAATCAAGAGATTTGGAATCAAGTGTGATGCCAATCCAGCCACTTAAAAATCTGCCACAAAATTTAAGAAGGCAGCCTCAGTTCCTCCACCTGTAAAGGTAATGACAACTTCAACCTTACTGATGGGTGTGTGATCAACCTATCCAATGCAAACAATAATTGGTGTAAAACTTTTGTAAATTGTTAAGACAAATACTGCTTATTATGAGTACTAGCTCACTTTTAGGCCGAACCTTTGTGTACTCTGAGCGACTGCGTAATTTTACAAGGTAAAGTGTGTCCTTTTTGCATTTCTATCCAAGAGGCGAAATCTGTCTCCCGCTGAAACACAAAACATCTCGAAGAGGGGGCGTGGCACCTTCGGCCTAGTGCGCAAGCGCAACGGGAGACGCTGTTAGAACGGCTCCTGGCGTCTGATTAAAATAATTCCAGCTATTCAGGATTTTTAAGCACCCATCTATATTTAATTTTATTTATAATAAGTATCATAATTCATATGAGCAAGTTTTCCTACTGAGGGGCCTTTGTCTTTAACCTAGTCCATTAATCCTTCCATAAAGTTTGCTGATTAGGCCGATGACGCAAATTTTGCTTTAAGAAAACATGCAAATCACGCTCTTCACAGATCACAAGAGGCGAGGGGGGACTCGAGGAACTGGGGTTTATAGGCAGGCGGCATAGAAGACGCCTATTTTCCTGAGGGCGGTGCCGACGTGGGCCCGATGGACCCAGGCGGGGCCGCCATTTTGGAGTCTTCCCTAAAGAGCTGCTACGGGTTTTCTGCGCCGCTGCCGCCGCTACCCGCGGCCTTGCGGGGCAGGATGAATGTGATAGACCACGTGCGGGACATGGCGGCCGCAGGGCTGCACTCCAACGTGCGGCTCCTCAGCAGCTTGTTACTTACGATGAGTAACAACAACCCGTGAGTTGAGGCGGGGAGCTGCCTGGGGCTGAAAGTTCCCCAAAGCATGTTGGGGAGCGGGGATGAAGGAGGCCCGGTCACAGGAAGGAAGTCGAGCAGCCCCGGACGAGGCTCAGTTGTCAGCTAGGGTCTTGTCCCGTGCATCCGACGTGGGAACGAACTCGGAAAATTCACTGGTCGCCTGCACTGTCATGCGTTCCTTGGAAGGCGGGAGGCTACGAGGATCCCCCTGAAACTGTGGCACCTCCCCTCCTGATGCTAGCTCGGAGAACGTTTTCCCCACTCGCTGCGGCTCCCAGAGACCCAGCCCCCTGCTCTTTGAAACTGCGCCCCACTTTTCAGATTGATTTTCTCCATTTGAGTGTATCGCCTCGGCCAGCCCCTGAAAATCGGCACCTCTTTATGTCTGGTCATGTAACGAGTCTGTTTACGTGTGAACCACCGGGTTAGTCCCTGGGAGCGGGTGCCGTCCCCCTTCTTAAACCTCCTCCTTTGCCTTTACCTTGATCTTGCAAGGCGGGATCTCATCTCCCCTGCTCTGGTCACTGTCCACCTTGGCTCTTCTCTGAGTTGGACACATCGTTTGTACTCATCGCTGGGCCTTGTTTACACGCTGAGCTTCCTGTGCGGCTCTGAATGCCCTTCCCTGATCGCCAGAAGTGTCCTTAGTCCCACTCTTGATTCACTTGCCCTGTTTTCTTTTTCTTTTCTGCATCATTCTTGCACCTGATGCAGTTAATGTGTTTCCTTTATTTCCTGTGTGTCGACCACCCCTGCGGGACTGTAGGCATCAGGCGGGCAGGTCCCTTTTCCATCGTGTCCCTAGCACTTAGCTTGGTGTGCAGTAAGCACGCAGTTGTTGATCACATGTGATCAGGAAGTGGTACCGTGGCAAGTAGGTGCAATGCCTTGTCCAAGTGCAGGCACTCATCTAGTCTGTGATAAAGGAGGATGGGGCCTTGGCCTTTCCCACTCCAGAGTCTCCATGTTGACCCACCACAGTCCAAATAGCATTACATCGTAGTGAAATCTGCAGTTGGCATGCTCTAGGTATTGTTTTGAGTCCTTATGTGGCGCTATAGGATAAGCACTGGACTACTAACTGCAAAGTCAGAAGGTCATACCCACTAGTTGCTCCTTGGAAACCCTATACAGTGTTGTGAATCGGAACCGGCTCAGTGGCACTTAACAATAATAACCAGTAACAACAAGGTGTAGTCTGGGTCAGAAAGGAAAGGCCCTAAGTGCTTGCAGCTGTTGCTGCCCAGTGCCTCACCAAGCCAGTGCATTAGACTTGACTATGTGAGACCCAGCATTGTGCCACTGGCTACTTAATGCTCACAACAAGGGGCCCTGGCCTCTTTCAGCCTCCTCTGTTGAATCTGAAGCCTTCCACTTGCTTGCAAGTGACTTGCCAAAGCACATGCTTTCCACCATTGGGGATTTATACATCACGTAGTCATTATTTAGTTGTTTCTTGAAGACAGTGTGAGTCTCTGGCTACACTTAATGTTGTTAGCCCATACTTCATAGGAAGATTAACTGGCAGCTGCTTGGCTTCTAACTCTGGAGAATAATATCAAAAAGGAAAGCAGAAAAAAAAAAAAGGAAAGCAGATACAACCTAGATCAATATGTTTAAGTTCTTACTTTAAGTGTTTGTATTTAAAATTTTCTTAATGAATAGGCAGTTATATGCAAATGGTTTAAAAAGAAAAAATTCAAACATTACAAAGAAGGTTTTTGTTAATTGCCATGTGTATAATAGAAGGAAAACGTTGCCCAGTCCTGTGCGGCCTTGTATGCGGTAGTTTTCTGCGCCTAGCTACAAACTCCACCACATTCTCTTCAGAGGCAGTTGCTATTAGCAGCAGTTCTTCATGTATGGTTCCAGAAAGAACCTCTGCGCAAGTAGGCATCTATGTTACAAAAATTCTTGACTGTCTCCTGTGTGTGTGGAAATACTTGGTTCTTTAGCCCAGCATCAGGTAATTATTTCTCACCAAATACATGATCTTAGAATCAGAAGAAATCTTCAGTCATTTGCATTATACATTGTTTGGTACCTTTGAGTTTATTCCAACCCAGCCACCCGAGGTACAACAGAACAAAACACTGCCTGGTCCTGCGCCATCCTCACAATTATTTCTTTTTTAATTTTTTAAATTGTAAATTAGGTGACGGTTTACAGATCAAATCAGTTTTCCCTTCAACAATTATCTCCTTTTATTTCAGATCATTGGTTGCAATCCCCACAATGCAGCCAACAGTGTTGCATTGTTGTGTTTCCCGTCTCCATTCTTCATTTCCTAACCTTGTGAACTTTGTCTCACGATTGTTCTTCCTTTGGGCTCATTGTTGCAGCAACTATCTCCGTCTACCTTGTTGAGAGTCTGCCATCTTTTCACGAATGCTTTTCACTAATCCAGGAGCACAAGTGGGTCACATGTTGGGCTGTTAATTTTAGGGTTGGCAGTTTGAATCCCAACTGTTTTGAGAGAGAAAGATCCGGCTTTCTGCTCCTGTAGAGATTTAAAACATCAAAAACGCTACACAGGGTCACTGTGAGCCCCAACTGACTTTGTGGTGCACAATAACAATACTTTAGCAAGCACGATGTCCTTCTCCAGGGACTGGTCCCTCTTTGTAACATGTTCAGAACATGAGAGACAAGGTCTTGCCATCATTTTCATGGAACTTTTTCTAACTTGAGTCTTATTCCAACACATACTTGTTTGTTCTGGTGTTCTGTGGTACATTCGATATTCTTTGCCAACACTGTAATTCAAAAGCACTATGTCTTAAAGTCATTGGATTTCTTTTGTTGTTGTTGTTGTTAGGTGCCATTGAGTTGGTACCGACTCATAGCGATCTTATGCACAGCAGAATGAAACACTGCCCGATCCTGGGCCAACCTCACAATTGTTGCCACACTTGAGCCCATTGATGCTGCCACTGGACAATTTGGAGGTTCAAACTCACCAGCCACTCCTTGGAAACCCTATATAGGGTCGCTATGAATTGAAACCGACTCAGCGACACATAACAACAGCATGATAAAATTCAGCCTATACAGTGTATTTAGTATATTCATTTGTAAAGTTGTGTAACCCATCACCACTACCTTAATTCCAGAACATTTTCATCACCTGCCCTTCCCTCAGCCCCTGGTGGCAATCACTGGTTTACTTTCTGTTCCTGTGGTTCCTGTTTTTGAGTACATGTGCTGAGAAATTCATCATCTGCAGAGGTCTTTATCTCACTCTCTCTGTTCTTTCATTTTAAGCCATTGTAGCAACTTGGTTCTACAGTCAAGTCGTGGAAGCAGCAGTCAAAAAATCAAACGATGTATTGTGTTAGGCAAATCTGCTGCGCAAGTCATCTTTAAATGTTCCAGAGCAAAGATGACTATTTGAGGACTAAGGTACACCTGACCCAAGCCATGGTATCTTCAATTCCTTCTTAACATGTGAAAGTTGCACGGTGAATATGAAAGACCATAAAAGATAGGTACATTTGACTTATGTTGTTAGAGAATATTAAAGGTCCACTGGACTGCCAGAAGAGCAAACAGCCAGAGTGTTCTTAGAAGCTGAGACAGGGAGACTTTATCTCCCATGCTTTGGACATATGAAGAGGGACCAGGCCCTGGAAGACATCATACTTGGTAAAGTGGAGGGTCAGCAGAAAAGAGGAAGACCCCAATGAGATGGAGCTGTAGCAGCAATAGGCTCAAGTGTAACAACAAATGTGAGGTTGGCGCAGGACCAGGCAGTGTTTCATTCTGTTATACATAAGGTTGCTGTGAGTTGGAACCGACTCATGGGCACCTAACAACAATTGTGTCGGCCTAGTTTGGATGGGGTGGGGTGAGATTGTAAATTAAAAGTATGAGTTTCCCATTAAGAATGATGGCTTCTAGGCAGTTACAACACTTAGGAGCAGTATTTAAGGTTTAAAAACAGTTTTGAAACATTGGGTCCCTTTGTTGTTGTTGTTATGTGCCGTGGAGTCGGGTCCGACTCATAGTGACCCTGTACAGGGTTTCCAAGGCTGCAGATCTTTACGGGAGCAGAACGCCTCATCTTTCTCCTGTGGAACAGCTGGTAGTTTCAAACTGCTGACCCTGAGGTTAGCAGCCCGATTTGTAACCACTACGCTACCAGAGCTGACCTTAAACCCTAACACTCAAAAGATAAAAAATTTTGTGCTAATAAAATTTATTTTTATGTTGATAAATTATATCCAATAAGGTAATATTTCTTTATGGCGTTTGCCTCAGTATTAGATGAGTTTTCAAACCTACTATGTTCAACTTCTTCCTGAAAAGGATTCAAAATGTCAAGGGTTTTCTTTTCCAGATTCACCTCTGGAAGCTGTGGTGATTGGTCTCCTTTATCTCTGTTATCCTTGGGAAAAAATTCTTGGGGGGTTGGATGGGGGTGGTCAGAAAAAAATCGGGTTAGAAAAACGCTAAGTCTGAGCAAGGCCTAGGACTTTGCTTAGTGCTAGGGTTAGGGTTAAGGAGCTCTGTTAGCGTAGTGGTTACGAATCGGGCTGTGAACCGCAAGGTCAGCAGCTCGAAACTACCAGCGGTTCCGCGGGAGAAAGATGAGGCATTCGGCTCCAGTAAAGATTTACAGCCTCGGAAACTCTGTGCAGGGTCACTATGAGTCGGAACTGACTCCACAGCACTTAACAACAACTAGGGTTAGGACCAAGGGTAGTTAGGGGTAGGCATTAGGGTACGGCTTGGAGTAAGGCTTGGTCTAATTTCAGGGTTGCTGTTAGGTTTATTTTTCTTTTATTATTTTCTTGAAATCTTGATTTCCAGTTCATTTGAAAGTCTTGTAACGTGTTCCAGGACACTGTTCCCTCGGCTGTGTTCAATGTCCTTCTTGGCTCTTCTCTGAGTTGAACACATCAAACTTGTTCTCATCACAAATTTGACCTTCCATCAACTGAGTTTTACTTCTTTGCCCTTTCATTGCACTCTCTCTGAAGTCTTAGTGTTAATCTTCTGGCTTTCTAATTGCTGTCTTTGTATGGTTTCCAAGTTTTCATTTATTTTGTCGGATTGTTCTTGTACTGTTTTCCTGAATTCTCTAAAATTTTTTTGTGTTTTCCTTGCTTTTGTCCATTTTTCTCTCAATCCTTGGTGGTACCTAAATAGCATTCTTTTAAATTCCTTATCTGTTTCCATTTCTGGTATTGTATTTTCTAACTCTGTATTTTGGTCACTTGTTTGAGGTACTCTGTCTTGTTTCTTCATGTAAGCTGAAATTGTTGTTTTCTCTGAGACCTTTTGGTGTCATCGTATTTATATTTAATGAATGATTCTGTGTTGGTGTGTTTTCAGGGACTCACCCCCTGCCTCTTGGTGGATGTGACGGAGACTAGAAGTAACACAGTTAGTTCTCTGTTCACTGTTTGTGTAGCATACTTCCAGGGTGGCTTCATGTACCTCCAGAAGCAGGGATGCTATGCCAGACGCCCAACCCCAGGCAGAGCCAAGACAGTAAAGGAGGGGGTGCCACTGATCTCTGGGTTGGTGGTGGTGGGACTGGCTACCAGGAAGGCAAGAGAACAAGAAAGAATTGCACCCCTGTTGCCTCCAACCTCTTGACTGTCGTGTGTTTGCAGGCCACTGTGTCCACAACCACTTGCAAAAGGTCAAGATGGCTGTGCCGCTTCATGCCACATGACAGCTGGCTGTTTTTCTTAATGCTGCTCCTGTTCAACTTCCTCTTGAAGTTAGCATTCAGTCTACCTCTCTCTCCTAGCCTCTGAAGCTCAGGGGTCCAGGATCACCTGTATCTGTTTCACTTGGTCTCTTTCCCATGTCCTTGTTACGGAGGATCTGTTCAGTGTGTCTGCCTACTCTACTGTCTTGTCCTGGAAGCCCTATCCTTGAAATGTTAACATCAGAGTATGTGGATATAAAGGAAGGAAGGGAGAGAAGAGCTTAGTGAAAAAAATTTTTTTTTTATAGATCTCTGTGTTAGTGAATTTGATTTAGAGGTGCTTTTATAATAAGTAAAAGGAAAAGTGTATAAAAACGGAGCAATTCAAGACAATGTGTTGACCTTATTAGCGTAGAGTGTGACTCTCATAGCCCTCGGTAGAGGGATGAATTTAAGGTCTAGTGATCTCTTTGTAAACTAGAATTACACAAGACTTTCTTTGTAAACTGGAATTACACAAGACTTTGTGCTAGGCTTACATAGATCACAAGAAGGGGTTCTGCCTACATTAACTTCAGAATAACCCACGTTGGGGATGTACTTTGTTTTGTTTTCTAGTGAGCTATTCTCCCCATCTCAGAAGTACCAGCTTTTGGTCTATCATGCGGATTCACTCTTCCATGATAAGGAATACCGGAATGCTGTTAGTAAGTATACTATGGCTTTACAGCAGAAGAAGGCTCTGAGTAAGACTGCCAAAGTGAGACCTTCAACAGGCAATTCTGCGTCTACACCCCAGAGCCAGGTAATGGAGCTCGAAGTGGGAGTCCTTTGTTGTTATTGTGGAAAGAGGTTGAAAGAATTTAGAGACCACTCATTAGGTGGAGATGATAAAAATGAAAGGGCAATTTAAAGGGGTGCTGACAGGAAAAGCAATGATGAAGAAGAACTTTTTGGATGCAAGAATGCATCCAAGCAAACTGAAGAGCTTGGGCTAAGAACAAAATTCACTCAGAAGGAATCTGAAAATGCAATGTAACATGAATGAGCTGGGCTGTAACCATACTCGAACATTGTCTTTTATGCAAATAGATCTCAAAATGTAAAGTGTTCATAAGGAGAAGACAAGTTTTAAAATGCCATTCAATAGTTAGGACTATGAGAACCTGTGTAATTTATGGGAAATAATTTATTAAATTCCTGGCAATTTGGTTGCTTCATAAATATATAGGGGGAAACAGCTGACTGAGGTAGAGATAGACTCAGAAAAGAGCTGCCGGGAATCTAACTGAGACTAGTAAATGCAGCATTGTTTATGCTAGTATATAATATAGGGAAATAAGTTGTACATCAGATGGGTCTGGGAAAATTACAGTCTAGCCTGTTTGACGTTTCCTATAAATCTTTCAATATGTGGTTCTTGTCTCTGGCTTCTTTCACTCCGTTTTCAAAGTTCACTCATGTATCAGTGCTCCATTCTTTCACTAGTGAATAGTGTTCCCTTGTACAAATACCCTTTGCTTATGCATTCATCAGTTGATGGGCATTTTTGGATCATTTCCACTTGTTGGCTGTTAATACTAAAACAGCTGTGAGTGTTCATGTACGGGTTTTGTGTGGATTTTTGTTTTCCCTTCTCTTGGGTTACATACCTAGTCATGGAATTGCTGGGTCGTATGATAATTCTTGTGTTTAACATTTTGAGGAAATGCCAGACTGCTGAAGTTGTATTTTGAAGAGGCATTTTCATTGCCTTTTAGTGTCTTCCATCTGAAATTGAAGTGAAATACAAAATGGCTGAATGCTACACAATGCTCAAACAAGATAAAGATGCCATTGGTGTACTCGATGGGATTCCTTCAAGACAAAGGACTCCCAAAGTAAGTTGGATGAACATTGTTTGTCATCTTCCAAGCCCTGTTCCCCATGATTTTTCTGTGCAGTAAGGAGTCCTGCTAACCGATTACTCAGGACCCTTTCCCTTTGTTTCCCTGCTGATACAGTGGGGTTTTGAGAGATAGATGAGTGACTCTCCTGTGACCTTGAAAATCCAGGTGGTGAAAACGATGGCCACAGATTTCTGCATGCGCTTCTTATTTGTGTTCTAGGAACAAGGACACTGATTTAATTTGCAAAACAACTTCTAGTGGCAACCGTGAATTTTTTTTTTAGACCTTTTTTTTTTCTCTCCATTCCCTCTATGTGCCTATTTGATAAGGGGAATGAATGATTTTACTACCTTCTTCCCCTTTTCTCCTAAATCAAGACCATAGATTTCTTAGTATTTATCTGTGTAGGGGATATGGTTTTACGCTTGGTTTCACAGCATAGTCTAGTGAAGAAAATGCCTTTAACTGAAAGTAAAAGAGCTGGTTTTTGAGTTTACTTGGGCAAGCTTACCAGTCTCTAAGATTTCTTTCTTTCTCTTTATGTTATTTGTAAGATATATATACTAATATTTTCTCTGTTTTTTGTTGTTTTTTTTCTCCTGAACAATTTGTTTCAGCAAAGAAAGGAAAGAGTACATGTTTATCTTCAGGAACGTAAGAGTCTAATTATTCAAACAAACAGTTTTTGTTATAAAAGTAAACTCTGAAGATGTCTGCAGAGTTGGCTTTTTTATTTTTCTATCTTTAAATCAGTAATCAAGGATTTTCTGTGTTAGCTTTTGTGAAAAAATAAGTTCATATATGTGAAAATACTTCTTAAAGGATTGTTCTGTAAGCATCTTTGATAACAGTATTTTTTTTTTTTTTAAGTTACTTTAGAAGACCAATGAGAATCCTTGCTCCAAGGATAGATCTTACATCAATATGTACTATTCTGAGAATACCTTTATTTCACCTGCCCTCTCCACTTCCTGAAAAACTGTTACATGCAGCCTGTCTTTAGCAAGGAATTTAGGCTATGAATATGTCTGTGATCTAATCACTGTGGACCTGGTGTATTTTAGTGTTTCTTCTCCAAAATGTTGCTGGGTTTTCAAAATAACCAATTAAGCTTGATGGGAGCATGTTTACGTATCTTATGTGGGGAAATCATTTGTGCTTGTTTCTGAATTTTTAAAGTTAGGGTCTTTTCCCATTATGTCTATGGTGGTAGTTGTTAAGTGCTGTGGAGTCAGTTCTGACTCATAGCGACCCTGTATAGAAATTCCAGTGAGTGGCTAGTGGGTTTGTTAGGAATGCTTATCTCTTATCCTGTCGAGCTGGTGTAGCTAGGAGCAAAGAGGTGTGCTTCCAACATAAGCCAATCATAGGTAGTTTATCTTGTCCATTTGGGAGTTAGCTGGCTTCTCAGTCTGTATAAAGGACAAGGAAGTGAGTCAGAATGTCTAACTGGAAGTCTGCTAATATTCTCTCTCATATTAAAGGGAAATTCCAGTGTTGAGGAGATTATGGCAAACTTCAACTTGAAAGAACAAACAGGCCAACATACGATTTCTCACTCAGTTTTACAGTGATTACTGCTTGTGTTTATAACTGATGCAGTGTGGTTTTCTGATGTTGCCAAGTAAGGGTCTGGTTTTTTTTTAAATTGACTTTCTCGCTAGACAGTTCCCAAAACTCATTCTTTCAAAATGACAGTCAAGTCACATAAAGAGAATTTGATATTTGTTGAGACAACTGGTACATCAGTCGTAGTTTATAATAACAAGCAGTCAAGAGAGAATCTTCAGTTCATTTTTGGAAAATGAATGCTGCACAAAAGCTTAGTATTGTGGCATCCTGTGCCTTGGTGTTTACAGTCTTCCATTCTAAGAGGGAGTCCTGGTGTGGCGCTGTGGGCTAATGTGTCAGACTATAAAGTCGTTTGAAGTGTGGCTCACCAGTTCACCAGCTGCTCCGTGGTAACCCTATACAGGGTTGTTATGGGTCGGAATTGACTCAACAGCACTTAACCACAACAGCATTCCAAGAGGGCCTAGTAGAGTCTGCATTTGTTAGGATTGCTTATCTCTTATCCTGTTGAGCTGGTGTAGGTAGGAGCAAAGAGGTGTGCTTCCAACATAAGCTGACAATTGGTAGTTTTTCTTGTCCATTAGGGAGTTAGGTGGCTTCTCAGCAGTTAGGTGCTTCTCAGTCTTTTATTCTTTCGGATGTTGAGACCAAGGTTGGAGTTTTCATTTAAGTACCTTCTTTTGCATTTTCAAAATAGTGTAAAAAATCTGAGGCCAGCTAGAAATTGGTATTAGTTTTGGTATTCCATTGTTTCGTGTTTGAATGGCTATAGGTTGAGGCCATGCTAGACTGCTTATGTACTGTAGGCCGTAACTGAAGCAGAAGCTTTTCTTCTTGAGAGTCAGTACCTGGGTTTTAAGCTGCATGCCATGCCCCAGGCAGTTACAGAGACTGGGCGCTGCCTCTGCGTCTTTCATGCCCACCCGTTGCCTGCTCTCAGTGATCTGCATTGTGTTGAAAATCTTTCGTGTGAAATTGGATTGTCATCTTCCTCTTTGTACTATTAGGAAAATCATTCATCCTTTCCCTGTAATAGCTACATTCTTTGGAACTTTTATGTTTTCTCAGATTTTTCCTGTTGCCTTTTTAGAAAGGATTATTTTCATAGAGCTTTACAATGTTACATGTTGGGATTGTGCTAAAAATGCAGGTATTTGCCCTCACTGGGTTTCAGTGGGGTAGCCAGTACCTGGGTCCACTACTCTAGGTCAGTCACCATATGAGTGTTTGTAGCAAGACTTGGGCGAGTCAGACAGTACGTATGGGTCGAAGCTTACAGCATCAGAAAGGCAAGAGTTTAGTGGTACAGTGATCGTCAGAGAGAAGCTAAGTGTTTGACTTCTGTAGGTATCATTCCCTTTATGGGAAAAATTCATTTGATCCTTTCCAACTGTGCTAGCTATGTTAAGAGTGTCTCACTCTCTTGTGCTTTGATGTTGCTGTTGTTGTTAAGGGTTATCAAGTTGGTTCCGACTCACAGTGACCCTGAATAGGGTTTCCGAGGAGAGCGGCTGGTGTATTTGAACTGCCGACCTTGTATGTAGCTGTCCATTGCTTACACTACAGTGTCATACCAGGACTTCGTCTTGTTATTAATTGCACTTAAAATATGTAAACTTGAGTGTTCCTGGGGCAGTTCATCTACTGTCTTGAGATAGACCAATGATAAGTAGACTTTTGCAACAGTTTTCAAGTGACCGCTCTGTCCAGAGGCAGCAGCTTTGGTCTAGACATTGTTGGACCTTTTGGTGAGGTGATAATTTATTTGACTTTTATGGATGGGTGGACTTAAGAAAAGCAAAGATAGTCGTTTCTTTGTTTTGTTTTGAAGAATGAGACTGGAGATAGATTTTCTAGTAGAAAACAGAAGAGTAGCTGGTACTAAAACCCTACTGTGATAATTTCTTGGCTTGGACACTTATCTTACTGTCTTTGTTTTTGTTTATTACAGATAAACATGATGCTGGCAAACCTCTACAAAAAGGCCGGCCAGGAGCGCCCTTCCGTCACCAGCTACAAGGAAGTGTTGAGACAGTGTCCTCTGGCTCTTGATGCCATTCTAGGTAGAGTGGTTTTTCTGTCAGTTGGCCAGTTTTTAAGTTGATAATTTTGTATGGCCCGCAAATGATTTTATAAATATCTAAATGGCTCTTGGCAGAAACCAAGGTGCCCTGGGACCATAGTTCTCAGTCTTGGCTTTACATTGGAATCACTTTGTTTTTCACATGTTGCCCAGGACTTGCCTCCAGAGGGTTGTCACTGCCACGTGTTGTTTGCTAACCCAGACGTAGTACATCAGCGGTGGCCTCTTGCTCAGGAGAGGAGGGAGGCAGCCTGGCGAGCCTGGGCAAAGTATACCCTGGTTCTTCTTATTGTAGAGAAAGGATCCAATACCTCATCTTTCTTTCTCCTGTTTTTCCCTTGGGCAGGTTTGCTGTCCCTTTCTGTAAAGGGAGCAGAGGTGGCCTCGATGACCATGAACGTGATCCAGACCGTGCCCAACTTGGACTGGCTCTCTGTGTGGATCAAAGCCTATGCTTTTGTGCACACTGGTGACAACTCAAGAGCAATCAATACCATCTGGTGAGAACCACAGATCATTTAATGTTCTTGAGGCTCCTTGCTTGTCTAGAGGCCTGGTGTATCTGAATTAGCAAAACAGACAAACAAGATGCTGAACTCTGATATTGCCATCGGTTGTCCTGGGTTGGGTTCACCTCTGTAATCACCTCTGTTCCCGTGTTGGAAAGCTGGACTGAGCTCAGCTCTGGACTTATAAAGTAAGTTAATGTAATCTTTACGAAGCAGACTTTCCTAGTGTGTCATAAGCTTAAGTTGGAACAAAAGTCTGTGTGGAGGCCCCAGCAGCATAGTGGACTGCAGTGTCTAATGTGAGCTGTCTTCCTAGGATTGGGATTTTCATTCTAGTCAGGTAACATTGAAGGACAAAGATTGGGCTGTGCGCTATAGAGTCATCGGGCTCAGTAATAAGTACCTGTCTCTTGTGAATGACATTCTGTTTAGTGACATTTACTGTATGTTTCTTTTGAAACACTGCTAATAAGAATAGAAAATTACCTAGAGATTTTGTTCTTGGTAATGAAAGGTCTGTTCTTTGTTATTTATCTGCGCTTCCTCTGCCTGTGTTGTTTTAAATCATAGACTTAAGTACGAGAATCTAAGTATACAATAGTTTTTAGAGATTTTTTATTGCAACAAATATTACACATGCTCAAAAGAGCATAGTCTCCATATGCCTGTCACCCAGATTTGATGATGCAGATTTAGAATAAATTTTAAGGTTCAACGTTTAATGTCTTAAAGTTCACTGGAGAAAAAATCCTTATTGCGAGATAATGTGGACCTGCTGGGAAGCTTAGCAGATCTGTACTTCCGAGCCGGAGACAATAAGAACTCTGTCCTCAAGTTTGAACAGGCGCAGATGTTGGATCCTTATTTGATCAAAGGTAAGTGGGCTCCTTGGTGTAGGGTGGGAGTGGCTGTCATGGGGGTATATCGGAGAAGACAAGGGAGGAAGTCTAGCAGGAGCTCCTGAGACCGCTTTTCATAGAAACGTGGTAAAATGTGCTACACTGTCTTACTCCTTATCTTTAGGTCCTAGTCCACATCTCTAACATGTAATCACATTTTGAGTGTTGTTTTGCTGGAATTCAAGTAGTTCTCCCCACAGATCATTATTTGGCTTTTTTTCTTTTCTGGGGGTCACAGTCCCTCATGATTTATGATGTGCCCAGCTGAGAATTTGGATAGCAGCCCCAGAGCTCAAATAACCTTTTAGGGAATTTTGTCTTACTGAGTCTTTAGTATCGTTAAAAAGGAGTAAGTGAATTCCAGATAATAAAAGAGGGATAAGGTTTACAAAAGGAAGTAATTAGGAATCAAAAACATCAATGTGGAAGGAGTTTGTAGCTGAAGGGCTGAGCCAGCAGTGCTTTCAAAAGTGATTGTTAGATGACCGACATTGAACGGAGGACGTGTGCCAGGAATCATGGGAATAAGAGTTGGGAGATAGATTGAGGTCTGTTTGTAAAAAACCCAAAAAGGTCATCAGAAAAATAAAACCTTGTGACAGTAAACTGTCTGGTCGTTGCTTAATCCAAGAGCATGATGGGACCTCCACAGCATAGAGGTGAGGAAACAAATCCTGATTGACTGCTTTGCTCAGGGCCTCCCTGCTGGCCAGGGTTTATTCCTTTCCTTTAAACTGCCCGCACCACGATGATGACCAGTGTGTTCCAGAAATTTTCGTCTGCTGCAGTAGGCAGCTTGGCGTCAGAAGCCCAACTTCCCCCCAAGTCTAGGGACCAGCACGGAGTGTTGTTGTGATCTTGGCTTGAGAGAATTTTCATGGGAATCTGAAGGGGTAGTAAGGCATGGAGGGGGATGGATGGACTCTTCTAGAGACCATCTTGTCTCACTCCTGACTGCCTGGAGCTCTAGGAAGAGAAAACTGAAGTCTTTTGGGGGCCTGTGGTAATGAGGTAGGGTAGCTGCCTATCATCCTATAAGGTGGAGGGACAAATCGGTCCTGAAAAGACAGGCTGTCAGCTTGTGACAACTCCTTAAGTTTTTTAGAAGAGCTTTGCCTTTGTAGCAGTGGTCTTTGTGAGAAATTGAACGCTAGGTGGGGGAGCCCTCAATTGAAAGGGTACAGACCCCTGGAAGCTGGGGCCTGGTGTGGTGCTGGAGTTGGGGAAGGAAAACCCCAGCGCCATGTTCTGCTTGCTGCTCCTTTCTGAAGGAATCTGATGATTTGCTTATGGAACCTCCTCGTCCCCCTGTCTGTCCTTCCTAGGAATGGATGTGTATGGCTACCTCCTGGCTCGAGAAGGGCGGCTGGAAGACGTGGAAAACCTTGGGTGCCGTCTTTTCAACATTTCAGATCAACATGCAGAACCCTGGGTGGTCTCTGGGTATGTTGGGCCATTCACCTTTCTTCCCACTTTTCCATAGAATCAATCTTTCAGGAGATTGTGGTTCTCTTGGAAAGGATATAGGTTAAAAGCATAGGTCTGAGAGGTAATCAGAGCTGAATTCAAATCTTGGTCTATGACTTTGACATAGTATTTACCTCTCTGGGTCTGTTTTGTCATTTGTAAAATGGGGATAAGAGCATGGAGGGTGACATGGCATGAGAGAGGGGGACCATCAGCCCAAGAGAGGTGGTTTTGTGCTGACCGGTTCTACAGTGTTTCTCAGCTGCTAATTTAGGAAGGTAAGTCAGAAGGTGTTGCACCTAGGACTCCAGCTCATACATGTACAGGTTTAGTTCAGACAGAACATGCTTAAACATGTCTCTGCAGTCAGTGGATGACTTAGAAAATATACTTGCCTTAGTGTCCAGGGGGAAAAAAAAAAAAGAAAGGTTGTGGTTGTTACCATGGAAAAAAAAAAATACTGAGTTCAGGATGAATACAAATGAACAAAACTCAAGTGGAGATCTCCACAAATCATTGAAGGTTTGTAACAAGTTTATGGGAATGCTATCTTTCATAAAACAACAGTTTTCACATGGATCAGGCATTTTAAGGAAGGTCTCGAAGATCTTTAAGATAAGCCATAAATGTGAAGACAATCAACCCCTGTGAGTGAGGAGACTCTGATTGAAGTCCAGGAACTGGTGGGAGAAGACTAATTACCCTGATGCTGTAGCTGTTGAAGGTGGGCTCTCCCTTGGTTCAGCATTTTCAATTTTAAGTGAACATCTTGGTCTCAACAAGCTTTTGGCTCAATGTGTGCCAAAAGCGTTGCTCAAAGGTGAGTCAATTCAAAGAGCTGATCTTTCCATCATTCAAGATCGAAGCTAATGAAGATGCTTTTGTGGAACAAATTGTAATCAGGGACAAATCTTGGATTTACCAATACCACACCAGCCACTCCTTGGAACAGACTCTACAGCACTTAACAACAGCATTCAGATAACACGGTTCAGTCAAAACAGTGGCTTCTGAGGAGATCTGCTGAGCCAATTAAATTCAAAGTCAAGAGGTTATCTCAGAAAGTAGGGCAACTAACTGTTTGGTCATTCCATTGGGTCATTAGGTCGACTTCCGATGATCACAGAGGCATATGAAGAAGTCATAAGAACACTGAAAACTGCATTGGTGAGAAAAAGGGCAGGAAAGTTGCACTGAGTAGTTGACAACAAATTTCCTAAAATCTGACAGCAGCATTATCAGTATGATATGATATGATATGATATGATATGATATGATATGATATGATATGATATGATATGATATGGGTATCAGAAACTAATGTGATATGAGCTGCGGCAAAAGTAGGATCTCAGACATTGGAGGCAGAGATTCTGTTAGACCCTCAGCTGATCAAACCACAACTGAAATACTGTGTACCTTTCCAGGGACTGCAGACTTAAGAGGATCATAACCAAACTGGCACATGTTTAAATCAGAAGGACTAGGATGCTGAGGAGTCTTTATACTATTCCATAAAAGGAAAGGTAGAATGAAGTAACTATTGTTGAACATGATAAAATGAGACCTGGGGAGGAAGATAATGGTTATTATCTTCATCCAATCATGCAACACACACAAATTTCACACCTATTTTGGGCCAGATATTCTGACAGTGGCTGGGGATCCATATCCACAAAAAGCTCTCATGTGTATCTGAAGTGTTCAAACGACATGATCTAAAAATGGATTTGAATGTTCTATAGGATATAAGACTGAAGTAGGTCTAGTAAAACAAAGTTGGAAAGTAGTCAATTTCAGTTCCATATAAGGAACAGTATTTGAAGAGTCATAGCTGTCTAATAATGGATAAAGGTTCCTGAGAAGACTCAAGTTCAGTACTAGTGTACTTAACGTGGATACTGCTAAAATAAGGCAGACACTGAACTAGATCATTTCTAACGCACCTCACATTTATGCTAGGATTCTATACTTCCTGAGGAAATAATTCTTATCAGATTTATCTGGTGTATTTCAGCAACCCAGGTTTTCTACAGTTGCTACTTCCAACTTGGTCTGTCCCCCACTTCAGCAACGCTTCGTAATTGGGATCGGATCTGGGAACAATAGGAATAAGGAGAAATCAGAAGAAAATGACCCATCAGCAGATATAGCCATGCACGCACACAAAAAAAATCAGTACTGTTCCATTTTTTTTAAAGAAATGGAATTTTTAAAGAAAATATAAAAATTCTCAACTTTTCATTCATAAATTCAATTAAAATATCCATTATGTTCAATTACTATAAATATTCGTTAAGCACTGCAAAAATAAATGCATAAACCTAGATAGATGATATATTGAGCAATAATAGCTTCACATTTTGATGTTTTTGTATAAAGGGGGTCTCTGATTTAGTAGCAATACTTTTTGACTTACAGTCATAGTTCCAGATTATCAGGGTCTTTTCCTTAATTTCTCCCTCCCACATGAAAATATTCTCCCTTAAATATTTAGTGGATGTTTTGCTTTCCTTTTTGACTAACATCTTAGGTAGAAATTCTAGTTGTGGTTCACAATAAGGAGCAAGTATGTGTAGGACTTCTTCTTTGGCTTTTACATGTCTTTAACATGTCTTTACATTTTTTTTCTAGGTGTCACAGCTTCTACAGCAAACGCTACTCCCGGGCCCTCTATTTAGGGGCTAAAGCCATTCAGCTCAACAGTAACAGTGTTCAAGCTTTGCTACTCAAGGGAGCAGCACTTAGGAACATGGGCAGAGTCCAAGAAGCAATAATCCACTTCCGGGAGGCCATACGGCTTGCACCTTGTCGCTTAGATTGTTACGAAGGTGAGATTGAAAATATGGGTGAAGAGCGTTAATCTTCAGGGCAAGCCAACAGATGGGACGTTACATTAGGACAGTGCTTCCCAGATACTTTTGTCAGTGAAAAGTGCTTGGGCCAAGTAAGAGTGACCAGGCTTGGGAATCAACAATGGTGTTTTATAAAGATCCCCAGCAATGTCGATATGCAGACATGTTTGGGAATCATTACATTAGGCAACATTCACTGAGGGCTGTCCCAAATTGTTCCATTTTTGGTTGTGTAGGAGCAGGGAAGGTTAGTTTGTTGTTGTTTTTTACCACCACCACCCTCCCACAAAACAAAACAACAGCCGTGTTCTAATGTGACTTGCTTGAAACTACTGCATCCCTGGGGGGAGTGATTATCAGGAACTGCACATCCCCACAGCAGGAGTGTTGTGAGAAGCAGCCTGTGATCTCAGTGGGCATGAGTGTTACCCTTTGTTGGACTCTAATATTTTAAGTTCATGAGCACTGACTCTCAGGCTGCATAGGAGCTCTGCCAACTTCAGCAACATTTGGCGACTCAGTCACAGACATTATAATAGAGCTTACAAGGTGGGTTCCGCCAAAGCATACTTTTATAAGGACTTAAAAATGAATCCAGACCTAGGGAAAAGTGGGAACCAGTGTTAAACCACAACAAAATGTATTCAAAAAGGAAAAAAGTAAAAATAAATAAATAAATCCAGGAATCTAAGGGTGAATTGCACTCAATAGCAAGATGAGTTCAGTTTTGAGAACTAGAAATTTAGGCCTTGGGGAAAGGAACGACTCTGGTGATAACCTCACAGCTGTGCCTGTTATGGCAAACCTTCCTCTCCTCCTATTTGGAAGCATACCCGTTTAGCCAGAGCCCATCAGTGCAGTCAAAGAAATTCACCCTCCTCACTACCTACCACCACATCCCACCCCCAGCACTTGGATGCCAATGTGGTTGGAGTCTTTAGGGGCAAGGGGTAGTCTCCAGTGAGGCTTTGTGGACTGCCTTCCCTCAAGTTACCATTTGGAAAATTGGGCCAGGCTGCATCTGTGTGGTTAGTAGTTACATCTTCTGGTGCTTACTGCCGCCTCCAGCAAAATGTCCATCCTTTCCTGGTGTAGCTCCTAGGTTTGTGAGGTACATTCTCCTTCTGGAATGCTGATGGGACTCTGGCAGGGAAGTTAAGATTAGTCAATAAAATCAAACCACCTCAGGAAATGACGAGGGCTCTTCCACTGAGAGCACTGCAGTTAGGATGACATACCACAAACTGTATAGAATGGGAGGCTAATTCACATTGTAACTTGGACCCAAACCACAATTAAAAAGAAAATAGCAGATGCCCTTATTCTGAGTTCAACACATTGCCCTTCATTGTTAATCTCTTCAGCGTAAGTGACAATGCCATGTGTCCCATGTGCACAGATGTTGTCAATGCTGTTGGGTTGCAGGAGTCTGTGGAATAAATCTTCCTGGACTCACGTGGGTTTGGGAAAAATAATGTCGTGTTTCAGATGAAAACATCTTCCTTTTTCCATTTATGGCTTACCAATAGGTCCTTTAGTTTTTAGAACTGGCTGTTCTATTTTGAGCTGTAGACATCTTCCCCCCTGTAACCCAGGACAGAAGGTGACTGAACACAGCTGGCCGTTGTAACTGCGTGTGGATGGTCAAGAGCAGAGATGAATGACTGGTGTCGTGTGTGCTCCTGGAACATCTGCATGGGCTGCCTCAGTGCTGTAGTTTTCTCAGGCCTGTTTGCTTCCTTCTCCAACCACAGTGCCCCCTATACATGGCAAGCTTTCTCCACATCTTCACACGCTCTGGAGAAGAGAACGTTTTAACTATTCTATCACTGTACCCTTCCTTCTGATCTCCCCATCCTTCACTTTTTCCCTGGCCCACCTTGGTCTGAAAATGGGAAGCTTTGCTGATTAGAAGGCAGTCAGCATGAAGTGTGGCTTGGAATGGTAATGTATTTGAACTTGTCTCTCCAATTTTATTTTCACAGGTCTCATTGAGTGTTACTTAGCCTCTAACAGTATTCGTGAAGCGATGGTAATGGCGAACAACGTTTACAAAACTCTGGGACCCAATGCACAAACCCTCACTCTTTTAGCCACTGTTTGTCTTGAAGATCCAGTCACACAAGAGAAAGCCAAAACGTTATTAGACAAAGCCCTGACCCAGAGGCCAGACTACATTAAGGCTGTGGTGAAAAAAGCAGAATTACTTAGTAAGTGTGTCTCATTATCTCAGCTCTTCACTGAATGTTTTCATAGAACCTGTCTGTACTCAGTCCCAGCTCATTCCAACTGACCAGGCAGGTGCTGTCTACCACCTGTGTTGATTAGTGGACGTTTACCACAACCACACAGAGTTGGTTTCTCCCTGCTTGGCTAGATGGCAGAGGACTTCAAGTTTTGAACTAGCTGAAACCAGCTGTAATTGGTGGGTACCTGTTCACTCCCTTTGGTCTGGTTTTAGCTGTGTAAAACTCGTTTGGACTAGTTTGGAACTCAGGATAAGAGTACAAAGGGCTCAAAGAGTTCATGGAAAAATGGAATGAAAAGAGACGAGTCCTTTCCCATGAACTTTGAGTCCCCTTGTACATTTGGAACATCAGAATCCATCCCTCAGGTTTCCTGATGGAGGAGGGGTCAACCACCATATTGTGCTCATCCTTGTGGTTCTGTGTAGCTGAACAGAGGTGGGAAGGTTTTTTCAAAATGTTGAAGTAGGACGGTGAGAGGTTTTTGTCTTTGCAGGCAGAGAACAGAAATATGAAGATGGAATTGCTTTGCTGAGGAACGCACTAGCGAATCAGAGTGACTGTGTCTTGCATCGGATCCTAGGAGATTTCCTTGTAGCTGTCAATGAATATCAGGAAGCAATGGACCAGTATAGTATAGCACTAAGGTAGGCCTGGAGCCTCCCGGGGGGAAGGTCACTGAGGAGGGCGGGCAGTTCTGTCACAGGACTTCCCAGAGTGGACGACAGAATGGTGCTAGTAACCACACATGAGTTCCCTGTGACTTTCTGAAAGTGTATTAGCAACATTCAGAACTGGTTTCACGCACAACTAACCCTCATCCTTTCTATAACATCTGTGCTTTCCTTTGTTTAGATCATCTTGCCCACACATACACATTTTAATAGGGATATAATTAGTATATATTTTATATTCTGCTTTTTAAAATCAAGGTATTGTAAATACTTTCCCATGTTTTGACCTACGGTGGTAGTTGAAGAACTTGAGCTCTGATGTTTGAATACTACCTTCCTCATCTATTTACTGTTCTCTCGGGCAAGTTACTAACAAATCTCCTTATCTAGTATCTAGCTACCTTATTATATATTAAATGAGCAAATGAGGATTAAATAATTACTTCATGTAAAGCACTTAGCACTGTGCCTGGTACATAGTGAATACGTAATAAATAGTGGTATTATTACTACTTACCATAGAAGTGGTTTCTTTGAGCTTGTCTGTGTGTGCGTGTAAGGTTACAGTAAAGGCCTTGTCTATAATCAAGTCTGATCACGTTCATTGACTTTATTCAGCAGATAGTTGAGCATCAGTCCTGGGCCTGACACCTCTCACCACAGGGGATGCTGGGAGCTCATGGTCTGAGGTGGGGTCAGATGTGCTTGGTGTTTTCATAGTAGTCTACAGGTGACGGGTGGGAGGAGCGCTGTATGGACGGTCTAAGAGGAGATGTTACAGATCAACGTTATATAAGTAGGAACACGACTACAGTGTGGGTTTTGTTTGCTTGGAAGTCCAGAGGCAAGTGAGAAAATAAAACATCAGACTTTCTTTAGAGGTGGGATTGGTTAGGGTTGATGCCTATTGGCATGGGGGATGGTCACCAAGGCAAGAGGCCAGATTGCTTAGGAGACCCATGCATACCCGTCGGGGGATCTCTGAGCTTTGAGGGGGAGTGGTATGTGTCATGGCTCTTAGCTGCTGAGCTTGAATGCCCAGGTGGGCAGTTAGCCTCGGGGTCCTAGGTACTAACCTAGGAGCTAACATGGTTGATGACTGAAGTACCCTTGTATGTTTAATTACAACGTGGAGCACTTTCACTCACAGAAAAGAATGCTTCTGTAACCCTATAGCTCCAAATCTCAATACCTGAGAGTGTATTTGACTTTTCCTGTTATTGGATGTTTGCTACTTTTTCATTTGTTACCTGGTAGCTTCTTGCTAGCATAATGCACTGGGGTCATGGGTATGAAAGATGTCTAAAAGCTTATGGAGGAAAACTCAAGTTGCGAATGCTAAACATTAGGCACAGATGCGTCTTTTCACTTCTAGTGGTGGACCCCCTTGATGCAGCCCATGGAGCCCGGAGCTGTGTGGACAGGCCAGGCAGCTTCTGTAACTGTGGTCACTTTACTGCCGTGCCGCCCAGGCAGATGACCAGTCAGCCAGCAAGAAGCCAGGCAGAGATTCAGGCCCTCTCCTTTGTTTTGTTGTCCCCTAGTTTGGACCCTAATGACCAGAAGTCTCTGGAGGGGATGCAGAAGATGGAGAAGGAGGAGAGCCCCACGGATGCCACTCAGGAGGAGGATGTGGACGACATGGAAGGAAGTGGGGAAGAAGGGGACCTGGAAGGCAGCGACAGTGAGGCGGCCCAGTGGGCTGATCAGGAGCAGTGGTTCGGCATGCAGTGAGACAGGAGGACTGGCCAGGGCCACACTGGCCTGCACTGAGCACGGCACTGTGGACTGAGGCACCCAGGAGGACGTGGTGGACGTGATTGCAGCATGTGATTGTGATTGTATGGGGGTCCCTACCCCCTCGCTTCGTATTTCTAGCAGTGACTGGATTTTTAAGAACTGAGCCTGACCGACTTTCCGTCTATCTGCACCCTCCCCTACTACAGCCAAGGAGAACCCTGTGAGCACTCCGTGACAAGATGTGTGTGCATTTTATAGTCACATTTCTAAATCTGGAAGCTCAAGGAATAGACGACATTTTGTCTGCCATGTGAATGAGTTTGAAAGAGGGACCTGTCATCCCGGAACTCGAGTGTCCTCTCCAGTCACATGGTGGCATCAGCCAGCCCTCTCGTGAAGGGTCTCCTCTTCTCAGAAGCAGTTGTCCTGGGCTGTGCAGACTTCCTAGTCACCTCACTTCCTTCTGCAATGTCAGTAATGCCTGAAACTGGCAGATATCTAGAACAGCTTCCGTATTTGCTGATCAAGAACGTGCCTCTGAGCCCGGGCGGATCTGAGAAACAGGTGTGACCTAGAGCATGTGCAGAGGCATGCCTGGAGTAATAAACTAATAAAGCGATTTTTTTGTACAGTAATACTGTTGGGTTGATCAGAATGACGGGAGCCCTTTATAGACTTGTCCTTTGGTCTCTTACTGCGAGTATATGATGCAGCCCCAGAGTTACTTGCCATAACTAGTCTCTTTCTCCTTCCTCAAGCAAAGTTGGTTTGGAGCAGGGACGGTTGGAGGACTTAAGTAGCGGAGCTGGTCGGGCCACTTACATTTTCAAGGTTGGGTGACTCTGCCTGGCTGGTCTGGTTTCAGCTTTTTCTATTGGGTCCACCCTGTCTTCCTTGTTTCTTTCTTTTTCTTTTTTTAAATGTTTTATTGTGAATTATGTGAATATAGTTTACATGGGAGAACATTAGTTTTATATTCATTCTATC